TTCACCATGTTGACCAGGATGGTCTCGATCTCTTGACCTTGTGATCCACCCGCCTCGGCCTCCCAAAGTGCTGGGATTACAGGCTTGAGCCACCGCGCCCGGCTCCTAAATGGAAATACTTGATAAATCATCTGTGATAATGTTAATTAAAGCCTGAAACTTTTGAAAAAATGTTACTAAAGTGTATTTTACCTTTTTTGGGGGGAGGGAGAGGAGACGTTAAATTTATAATAGGAAAATGTTAACTCCCTTTTCTTAGTGTGGAAATGTTTTTCTTGTTTTTTAAAATAGGGCACTTTAAGAGTGCTGCTGGTTCTTTTGCATGATTTCCCAGAGTTCCTTTGTGATTACCATTATGGGTTTTGTGATGTGATTCCACCTAATTGTATCCAGTTAAGAAATTTGATCCTGAGTGCCTTTCCAAGAAACATGAGGCTCCCAGACCCATTCACTCCTAATCTAAAGGTAAAGTTCCAACTAGTTAAAGGAAAATTCATGTCTTAGTACTTCAGTCCTTTCTCTGATAAGTAGGCTGTTCCAACACTTCCCTACCCAACATACATGCACACAGTTAAGAGTATTCTTTAAAGGAAATAATCATGTTTTTAAGCCTGATAATATGGTATGATATTGTTGCTATTGCTGTTGCTGGTTCACAGCGTTTTTCTAGTTGCTAGTTTTCATATTAATTTTGATATTAAATTTAGCTCTATTTATAGAACCCTTGCTTAGGTGTTGGGGCACGCATTTGCTGGGTGTGCCCCACATGGCAAAGAATCGCAGAACAAATAGACCTTTGTAATCTCTATTTCTTTTTCTTTGAGGCAAGAGTCTCACTCTGTGACGCAGGCTGGAGTGCAGGGGCACAATCTCAGCTCCCTGCAACCTCCCCTTCTCTGGTTCAAGCGATTCTCCCACCCCAGCCTCCCAAGTAGATGGGATTACAGGCACGTGCCACCACGCCTGGCTAATTTTTTGTATGTGTTTAGTAGAGATGGGGTTTTGCCATGTTGGCCAGGTTGGTTTCGAGCTCGACCTCAAGTGATCTGCCTGCCTCGGCCTCCCAAAGTGCTGGGATTGCAGGTGTGAGACACTGCGCCTGATTGTAATCTCCATATTTTACAGGTGTTTTGTGTGTCTGTGCACCTGTGCAGTTGTCTCTTGGTCCATTGCTATTCTTGGGGGATTGGTTCCAGGACCCACTGGGACACTGAATTTTAAGTATGCTTAAGTCCCTTATGTAAAGTGGCATATAACCTTTGCATAACCTCTTAAATGATATCTGTATTGCTTATGATACTTAGTATAGTGTAATGCTATGGAAATAACTTTTAAACTATATTGAACTGTTTTTAAAATTTGTTTATTATATTATTTTAATATGAAGTCTCACTCTGTCACCCAGGCTGGAGTGCAGTGGTGTGATCTCAGCTCACTGCAGTCTCCACCTCCCAGCTTCAAGTGATTCTCCTGCATTAGCCTCCCAAATAGCTGGGACTGCAGGTGCCCACTACCATGCCTAGCTAATTTTAAAAATATTTTTAGTAGAGA